ACTGCTCTATGGTGCCTGGGGTTCCTTGTAAGAAGGAGGTGGAAGTGGGGGACAAGGATAGTAGGAAAAGGTAGGCCTCAGATCCATATCTGTGCTTCAACCAGAACAGTCCCTTTTATTGCTTGACATGAGTTTTTGTTTTGGTAAAGAGCCCCACTGCCATGAATAAAAAAGGAAAAGGGGAAAAAAGAGGTTGGAAAAAACCACCAATCCAGCTAATGTATATGGCCTCCGTTAGGAGGCTTACCATGGGCTGGATTCGTGGATTGTGTTTGGACCTCAGTGCAAATCATACAGAGTTCACCTGTAGGTCTCTTCCTGTTAATATCCCTCCCTCTCCCTCTTTGTCCTTTTTCCCTTAGTTGTGAATTAGTGCCTATATTTGCCAGTGTCCACCTGTGGCTGTGTTTTGCAGAAGAGGCTGCACCCTGCCTGACTTGCCTGCATATCTTATGGGTGTTACCAGATGACAATAGGCCCTGGGCTTGAAAAGCTTGAATTAATAAAGAAAGAGGAGGCAATATTAAGTAGAGTAAGACCAGGTCTCAAGGGCTGGGAATGTCTCTCTCTTGAACTAGATTCCCAAGTTGCTTGATCCCCAGCCTCAGCTGAAGAGGTTTCTCCTGTGTGCTAGTCCTAAAGCCCTAGTCCCAAGGTACTGATCCTGATAGGTACTCAGTTTCAAAGACTATTGTTGGTCTTCAGAGAGCCCATTATATTTTATTAATTCCAATCAGAAACTATTTCACCTGTTTGAGAACCCCAGCTGTGAGACAACTTAGCTTGAGGTGTTGATTTTCCTTCTTCAGGAAGAGCAAGCCAGCTTCCCCTCTGTCCGTTAAAAAATCAGACAACTCATGGCTTTCCACTGCTTTGGACTTATTTATCCATCATCTCCCCACATTTTATAGTACAAAAGTAAAAAGCCCTCTTGTTTCTCTAACCTTGCTCTTAGCACTGCTCTTAGGAAGCTTTGAAATGAGGGGTTTAGCCTCTTCACTGTGGCAGAGCCCCATAGTAGGGTATTCAGTGAAATAAAAGGTCCCAGGAGGATCACCTTGTATCATTCCACTGGACTGATTGATGGGTTGGCCCACATTACAACTTTTGGCCACATTACAACTTTTGGCCCACATTACAACTTTGGAATACAGTATTGCTGTATAATATTTGGCAATCTGACAGTATGGCTAGTGCTTTCTTTTTCCTGTTGTTTGTTAAACCTTTAGGGCTGCAGTTATCAGTAGGCCATGACTCCACATAACCTCTTTTGTCTTCTGTTGATTAGAGAGGAACATAATGACATCCTGGCTGTAGCTGATTGGGGACAGAAGCTCTCCTTCTACCAACTGAGTGGAAAACAGGTATGTAGCTCTATCCAAACCTAGTGGGAAATACAGTTTTGGTCATGTCTTTTATAATCTCTTTTCACTTTCAGGGATTATTAGTAATTATACTTTTATAATTGTTAGCCCCTGTTTATTGAGCCCTTAGTACCAGGTACTGTGCTCAGTGTTTTGCATACTTTATCTCATTTAATTCTTACAGATCCTGTGAAGTAGGTATATTGGTTATCAACTTTTTAGAAATGAGTAGGCAAGACTCAGAGCAGTGATATAAAAATTATACCCAAGGTCCTACACAGCTAGTAAATAGTGACACCTGAGATTGGAACCCAGCCTGTTCTGATTCTAAAGCCTTAGTCTTCATTATGACTTTGTTTTCCTTTATTTGCTTTATGCATTCTACAAACATTAATGAGCACCCACTTAGGCCAGCACTTCATCTATGCCAGGGGCTACTGACAGAGCTGTTAATGCCTCTGCTGTGTGAAAGCTCAAAGGCTGGTAGGGGCACAGTTGATAGCCATTAGCCCCAGTGCAGCATGATACATGGCATCTTAAGGAGATGTACAGGTAGATTGTTATAGGGACACAAAAGAGGATATCATCACTGCTTGGTAGAAGTGGGAGATTTTGTAGAGATGACCTTTGAACAAGATAAATTGGAGTTTGCTAGGCAGAGGACATTGGGAATAGTGTTTCAGGCAGAGGAAACAGCATCTGCAAAGGCAGGGAAGAATGAAGATACATGTCAAGTCAGGGAACAGTGGGTTATTCAGAGTGACTGGATCCCAAGAATTATAGACAAAAGATGGAACTAGAAAGGAAGATGGATGGGTACTTGATTCTAAAGGACCTGAGTTGTGTGAATTAGGAGTTTGAACTTCATATACTATAAGTATTTAAGAGCCATCGATTTAGGCGGAGAGTGACTTAATCAGATTCCTGTTTCAGAAAAATTCCTTGTATCTATGGAGGGTAGATTAAAATAGAACCTGGTAGAGGGGGATCCCTGGGTGGCGCAGCGGTTTGGCGCCTGCCTTTGGCCCAGGGCGCGATCCTGGAGATCCGGGATCGAATCCCACGTCGGGCTCCCGGTGCATGGAGCCTGCTTCTCCCTCTGCCTGTGTCTCTGCCTCTCTCTCTCTCTCTCTCTCTCTCTCTCTCTGTGACTATCATAAAAAAAAAAAAAAAAAAAAAAAGAACCTGGTAGAGGAAACCCTGCTAGGCAGGAGACACCAAGTATTAAAGTGAAGGTGGTGGGGATGGCTTAGGTACCATAGCAAGCAGCTGAGAAATACAGTCTGTTCAGTGGAGCCTTTTGTTTAACAATATCTTTATTTGGGATCCCTGGGTGGCGCAGTGGTTTAGCGCCTGCCTTTGGCCCAGGGCGTGATCCTGGAGATCCAGGATCGAGTCCCACGTCAGGCTCCTGGTGCATGGAGCCTGCTTCTCCCTCTGCCTATGTCTCTGCCTCTCTCCCTCTCTCTCTGTGACTATCATAAATAAATAAAAATTAAAAAAATTAAAAAAAAAAAACAATATCTTTATTTCTCAAAACATGTCCTGCTAGAAAGGAGGGGTTTCAGTTATGTGTAGCCCAGCTTTAAGGCCATTTCTTTTCTACCTCATTGGTCATTTTTTTGTGTAGCTGAGTAAAGAAAAGATAAAGGTAGATAGTGAGATGTCTTCTGAGTTTCCTTCCACGGCTGATTTCCCCAAGCTCGCACTTTTAATTTTCTTGTATCTAGCCCTGGCCTATCTGTTCATTTACTTAATTTGTGTATATCATCATTCAACAAACACTTATTGGCACATCTGTTGTGTACAAGGCACTGGGTATGGGTCTTGCTAGTTCTTGGAAACAAATAACCACACGATAAGGGAAGGAATGGAGTCTTATTGCTATAGTGAAAATGAAAAAGAACCTGATCTGGTGGTCAGTGCCATGGCAATATCTTGCACATATATAGCACTAAAGTTCATAGTGTGGCCCAGAGTTTTTGAATGATAAGCAATCTCACTCTGCTGAGATAAGACAACTAGTTTGGGACAATAAAATTGTTTCCTTAGTTGGGTGCCTTTTAAATCTGGGAAGATTTAGAATTAAATATAGTATAATATAAAAAATAGTGAAAGGGATTAAAGGGGACAGGAGAAAAAATGAGTGGGAAATATCAGAGAGGGTGATAGAAGGTGATAGAACATGAGAGACTCCTAACTCTGGGAAACGAACAAGGGGTAGTGGAAGGAGAGGTGGGCAGGAGGATGGGATGACTGGGTGATGGGCACTGAGGGGGGCACTTGATGGGATGAGCACTGGGTGTTATACTATATGTTGGGAAATCGAACTCCAATAAAAAAAATACAAAAAAAATATGATGAAGTAAATCAAGACTATACTTTTGTATTAGGTATAATTAGGCATAATTTGTGTATTTTGGCATTTTAAGTGTTTGTAATGTTTAAGGGTATCTGGATTAATGATAATCACTAACATTTATTGAATTTTAGGCATTATATAGACTCTACAAGGTTAACTCTTAATCTTGGTTATAACTCTGTGAGGTATGTATTATAATCACCACCTTACATGTTAAAAAATTGAGGCACAGAGAGGTTCAATAACTGCCCAAAGCCATGCAGAGTAGTGGCTAGCTCTGGTTTAGAACCCAGGCAGACTGGTACTGGAATCCATATTAGAATATCTATCAGATCAGTCTTGTGATGACCATTTAAAAGATGTAATTGAGTAATTAATTTTACACATCCGATTTCTAATTGAAAAGTATAAGACATTTTTAGTAAGTACCTAAGTAATATTAGAATGTTAAAGAGATTCATTATATTTTCTGGCTTAGGGTAGAGTGGGGGATAGTTACTGATCTTCTTGAATCTATACACATATCTTTATTCTTTCACCAAATGTGGAATAATTTTTTTGTTATTCAAATAATTTTTCTTCTTCATTCTCTACTATCCTTCTGGGTCTCCAATTACATGTTAGACCTTTTGGTATTGTTTTCCAAGTCACTGAGGCCCTGTTCATTTCTTAAATCTTTTATTTCAGTCTTCCGTTGCATTGACTCTTCTGTCATCTGTAATATTTCTGTTAAGCCCTTTTAGTGAATTTTTGTTTCAGTTATTGCATTTTTCAGTTCTAGATTTCCATTTGGTTCTTTTTTTCCTATTTGTCTATTCATTATAGGAATATTTTCCTTTATGTCCTTGACTGTAGTTATAATAGCTATTTTAAAATATTCATCTGCTAATTCCTATCTGAATTATCTTGGGGGTCAATGTCTACTAATTGTCTTTTCTCTTGAATATGGTTCACATTTTTCTGCCTTTTGGAGTTTAGGGTTATATTCTGGACATTTTATTTTTTATTTATTTTTTATTTTTTAAAGATTTTATTTATTCGTAGAGACAGAGAGAGGCAGAGACACAGGCAGAGGGAAAAGCAGGCTCCATACAGGAAGCCTGACGTGGGACTCGATCCAGAGTCTCCAGGATCACGCCCTGGACTGCAGGCGGCACCAAACTGCTGCACCACCGGGGCTGCCGTATTCTGGACATTTTAAATGATACATCATAGAGATTCATTTCTGTCATGTTCCTCTGAAGATTATTGTGTAGTTTTTTTTTTCTTTTTTTTTAAATACAGAATACTTCATGAATTTGAGTGTCATCCTTGTGCAGGGGCCATGCTAATCTTCTCTATATTGTTCTAATTTTAGTATGTGTACTGCTGAAGAAGCACTATAGTTGGGTTATTTATTTATTTTTAAGATTTTATTTTATTTTTTATTTTTTTGAGAGAGAGTGAGAGTGATCACAGAGGGAGAGGGAGAAGTAGACTCACCACTGAGCAGAGAGCCCAATGTGGGGCTCAGTCCCAGGACCGTGAGATCATGACCTGAGCTGAAGGCAGATGCTTAACTGACCGAACCACCCAGGTACTCCTGTAGTAGTTTAAAAAAAAAACAAAAACAAAAACAAAAAAAACAGGTAGTTAACTTTGCTGGGTTCAGAGTTCAAACTCCATCTTTTCAGTATGAGCAACCACTGAAATCTCTATTGAGTTCTTTAGCCTTGCTAAGCTGCTTAGCATTCTACCCCACATGTGTGTCATTCAAAGAGTTCTAGATATTCAACAGAGTGTACGTTCAGAATTTTGGCTTTCTTTCCTCCCTCTGCATCTGTCTCTTTTCTGGGATTTTTCACCTCATTTTCAGGCTGTTGTGGCCACTCCAAATTCTGTGTTCATCCAGCAGGGTGCTGATAGGGCCTGCCCTTAGGCAAAAAGCCCTTAAAAAGTGAGAAATTCACCTAGTACCAGTCCATTGTTCCAAATGCCCACGTGTCTTCAGTTTTTGTCTGCTTATGGTTGCTCTCTAGTGCCTTCACGTGATTGTCATTTATAGTTAGTCCAGAGTTTATAGTTATTACCTGCAGGAAAGTTGGCCCAATAGGAATTAGTGAGCTGTTTGTTACCAGAACCTGCAAGCCTTCCATGTCATGATTCATAGGATTTTTTTTTTAGTTTTCTTACTAGATTTACTATCATTTTATAAGTACTAGGGGAAGTTTGGTTGTTAGGCATTTAAAATTCTTATAAAGAAAAATTGAATTATGAAATGAATAATTGTTTAAATTAATTTAAGGGAATCAACTAAGTTGTAAATGACACTAAGGGATTTTCTTTTCATTTTTTAAAGGTTTATTTCTTTATTTGAGAGAGAGAGAGCAGAGAGAGCAAGCATGGGGCAGGGGGAAGGGTAGAGTCAGAGGGCGAGGGAGAGAGAAACCCAAGCAGACTCCAGGCTGAGTGCAGAGCCTAACAACCCTGAGATCAGACCTGAGCCGAAACCAAGAGTAGGATGCTTAATCGACTGTGCCACCCAGGTGCCCCAATACTAAGGGATTTTAAAGTCTGTTCAAAATTTAATTCAGTAAATGATAAATTCCCCCTTTCAATGTTGTTTACTTTTGTCATACTTATAAATAGGAAAATATTTCTAAATTGAACTTAAAAACTTAATGAGAAACCAGGGTTTTAGAATTCTTTAATAAACTATAGTTTAATAATGATAATCATAAATAATATTTTTATTCACAAAAAGCTCCTTCAGGGGTGGCAAAAAATCTTCAGTGACAATAAGGAGCTTGGGCTTTAACGAGTAGTAAGGGGAGTTGGGGACATCAAATTAAACCTGTAACTATAGAGCAGTGAGAGAAGTGCTGTGGGAGAGGTGAGCACAGGGCCAGGGGAGCACAGAGGAACGGGCACTAAATGGCCTTGGGTGGGGCAGAGAGATTGGGGGATTTTTTTTTTTTTTTTTTTTTTTTTTTTTTGTAGGAGATGACACTTGGTGGGAAGAGGAAGGAAGAGGATAGACACTTTTGGCTGGGGCTGGGATGGTGTGGAGAACAACATTTGTGAGGATGTGGAGGCCTGAAAGAACATGGTCTGCTTGGCAAACAAACTATAAGATGTTCATTTTGCCTGAGAAAAGGCTCTTGGGAGCTGATCTCAGGAGTTTGACCTTCACCCTAGTGTCACCCAAAACTGAAAAGACAACTCACAGAATTGGAGAAATTTTTACAAATCATATATCTGATAAGGGACATGTATCTGGAACATATAAAGAACTCTTGCAATTCAGTAATAAAGAGATAACCCAATTCAAAATTGGAGAAAGGATTTGAATAGACATTTCTCCAAACAAGATATACATGTGCCAATAAGCACATAAAAAGATTCTCAACATTATTAGATACCAGGGAAATGCAAATCAAAACCACACCCACTAGGATGGAGAAATTGGAACCTTTATATACTACTGTTACAAATATAAAATGGCATAGTTACTTTGAAAAAAATCTGCAGTTCCTCAGAAGGTTAAAGATAAAGTTACTATAGATTCAGCAATTCCACTCCTAGGTATATATATCCAAGAGAGATGAAAACCTGTTCACATAAAAACTTATACACATATATCCATAGCAGTATTATTCATAATGTCAAAAACTAGGTGTGGCCACCAACTGATGAATGGATAATAAAATGTGTTATATCCATGTAATGGAATGTTATTCAGCAATGAAAAGGAGTGAAATTTTTGATATATGCTATAATGTGAATGAATTGGTCCCAAAAGGCCACAAATTGTGTGGTCCCTTTTATGTGAAATCTTGAAAGTAGGCAAATCTATAGACAAGAGAAATCAGATTAGTGGTTGCCTGGGGAGGGAAAGAGAGGAGAATTGGGATCAACAGCTAATAGGTATGTGGTTTCTCTTTGGAATGATATAAATGTTCTGAATTAGAGATAATGTTTGCACAATTAATTATATACTTCAAATGAGTGATTGCATAGTATGTAATACTTCAATAAGGTTGTTATAAAGAGAAGTAGGATGGTTGTAATTCCAGAATAGAGAGTTATTTATTTATTTAAAGATTTTATTTCTTTAGTCATGAGAGATACAGAGAGAGAGGCAGAGACACAGGCAGAGGAAGAAGCAGGCTCCTTGCAGTGAGCCTGATGCAGGACTTGATCCCTGGACCCGGGATCATAACCTGAGCCAAAGGCAGATGCTTAACTGCTGAGCTACCCAGGCACCCCAAGGACAGTTTTTTAAATTGGATATATTTGGCTTCATGAAATACTTTAAAAAAAAGAGAAGAAGAAAGCTGAGGGGAACCATTGAACCCTTGCAAGGACTGTGTATGGAGGAGGGCCTGTGGGAGAAAGACTAATCCCTGGATCTGGATTGCTGAGGATCTAAGACACATATCTGGAGCAGCTAGTGGGCCTGGGGGAAATGCTGCCGACCCTAGTAGTGGAGGATTCAGCTGTGTGTAGGGGAGGAAGCTGGCCTGTGTTCATGATGGAATCCCACAGGAGGTGGGATTATCTTCTTGACAATCCCTCATTAAAGTTGATAGGAAATAAATAAATAAATAAATAAACAAATAAATAAATAAATAAATAAATAAAGTTGATAGGAAAAGCCCTAAATTGTGTTCTGAATACTGTGGATTCAGGAGTGGTTTTTCCCTTGGTATGTGTTTTCTTTCCTCAGATTGGGAAGGATCGGTCACTGAACTTTGACCCCTGCTGCCTCAGCTACTTCACTAAAGGAGAGTACATTTTGCTGGGAGGGTCAGACAAGCAAGTATCCCTTTTCACCAAGGATGGAGTGCGGCTTGGGACTGTTGGGGAGCAGAACTCCTGGGTGTGGACGTGTAAAGTGAAACCTGACTCCAACTACGTGGTAAGAAGAGGAAGCTCATTCTGTTGGGCCATTGCCTGAGTAGGCACAGACATTAGCCATGTAGAGCTAGTCAGATCATTGACATTTGTTCCTCACAAATAGGAGGGCAGACTATTTCTTCTCAGCGAGCTGGGGATTAACAACTCTCTTTCCCTGCAGGTCGTAGGCTGCCAAGATGGCACCATTTCCTTTTACCAGCTTATTTTCAGTACTGTCCATGGGCTCTACAAGGACCGGTATGCATACAGGGATAGCATGACTGATGTCATCGTGCAGCACCTGATCACCGAACAGAAAGGTAAAAGGCAGGTATGGCCCCTCTGTCCTGTGGCCTTTGGGAAGAGAAGTAGATTGGGAGGGCTACTGATAGGACAAGCGAAATGATAGGAAATGTTCCTCCTTAGTGTTTTGGAAATATGTTGGACCACTGGCCACTGGTTCTTGCTTTTTTTTTTTTTTTTGAGAGTAAGAGGAGGATGTAGATGTCTTTGAGAATCTAATGAAAGCAATAAACTATCTCTCCAAAAAAAAAAAAAGGACCTGTGGACTTCTTTCCCCTTTGGTGTGGATATACTGGTGTGCTTCTCTCTATTTCATCTCCACTTGCCTCCTGATGGGTCCTTACCCCAGGGGTAAACAGGAGCAGTGGGTCACCACAGGCTTAGTCAGAAGATCCAAGCTCCAGGCCTAGCATAGTCAATCTGAACCTCAGTTTCATCCACTGTCCACCCAAGTAGCCATGCTGGTTATTATTTTTTTAAAGATTTATTTATTTATTTATTTATTTATTTATTTTATTTTTTAAATATTTATTTTTGAGAAGATGATGAGAGAGAGAGAGAGAGAGAGGGAGGGGCAGAGACACAGGCAGAGGGAGAAGCAGGCTCCATGCAGGGAGCCTGATGTGGGACTCGATCCTGGGTCTCCAGGATCACACCCTGGGCCAAAGGTGGTGCTAAACCGCTGAGCCACCTGGGCTGCCTGCCATGCTGGTTAAATGGGCTAAAGATCGGGGGCAGGGTGAGGAGGGCCCGCAGGCAGGCCTGCCCCCCCCCCGCCCCCATAAAAAAGAAGAAAAAAAATGGGCTAAAGATCCACTTATTTCAAGTGTAGTCACATACACATGCGCTGACTACAGCGCACTGCCCAGTGCCTGTGTGTAGGGATACACATTGAGTGTTGTCTTACAGATTCAGCTGGCATCTGAGACCACCTCTGTTTGAAGATTCCAGCTGTGCTGGTGAGGGTATAGCCACTTGGGCAGCTCCCCAACTTCCCTTCTGGGGACATTTTCTCCGTCTAGTCTGCAGTTAGAGTGTGAGAGCCTAGTATATACCAGAAACTACATGCAATTCCCTGTTGTTGAGGGTAGTGGGTCGGGGGAGTGGTTAGAGGCATAGATAATCGTTCAGATGGACTTCTGATCATCAGGGGCAATATATTCTATGCAGAAGAGTTTAGCTTGTATTCAGCAAGTGAT